TATATCCAGCTACTCCTTTTTTTAAGATTTATTTATTTATTTGAAAGTCAGAGTTACACAGAGAGAGGAGAGGCAGAGAGAGAGAGAGAGAGAGAGGTCTTCCATCCAATGGTTCACTCCCCAGTTGGCTGCAACGTTTGGAGCTGTGCTGATCCGAAGCCAGGAGCCAGGAGTTTCTTCCGGGTCTCCCACGCAGGTGCAGGGGCCCAAGGACTTGGGCCATCTTCTACTGCTTTCCCGGGCCATAGCAGGGAGCTGGATCAGAAGTGGAGCAGCCAGGACTCAAACCGGTACCCATATGGGATGCTGGCACTGCAGGCCAGGGCATTAACTCACTGCGCCACAGCGCCAGCCCCTATCCAGCTATTCTAAAGCATGTTTTTGTTATACCTTCTGAGCTGTTTAAAGAGCCTATGTTTGGAGATTCTACTGGATCTCAAATTTGCCTCTCCTTTTTTAATTTTAAAAACTTTAAGCTTCTTAATGGGAAGTGTACCATTTCTGTTGTATTCCTCCAAAACAAAAATTTGGTGGACATAGCGAATTGGGCATAAAGAAAGATATACAATAAGTTAGTAAAAGAATAAGCAGATATTGAAAGGTGTGCTGCATTTGGTTATGGAGGATTCAGAAAGCAAAGCCAAAGCAGTTGACACTGTGGAAGAGACTGGAACTTTGCTTCGTAACAGTTGTTACTGATTTATTGTATCCAACCATAGCAGCTCTGTAAGAGTGCTGTGAGCTGGTGGGCTCCAGGAGGCCCAAGGCACAGCCATCACATGCACCAGCGGATCCTCAGAAACTCCTTTGATGTTTTGCCCTCTGTGGGCATAGAGTATTTGTTGGATGCTACAAGACTGAGTGAAGTGAAATGAAGATTGAGAACTCTGAAACATGGATTATCCCTATCTTTTTCCATAGTCCTAGGTAGACACATGGAACATACTGGGAAACAGAAACTTCTGCTTAAACTGTTAGTGGCTTTCCCTAGGTCTCGTGGCCAGAAAAGGCAACAAGAGAACCTAAGAGAACACTTCAAGTCCAATGCTCTTCCCAGCATACACCTCTTCTCCAGCTCTACAATGCTCTGAATCATGTTCTTTTGCAATGTACTTTTACTTTTTATCCAAGTGTTTAATGAACTAGGAGATATATCAGCTTCTACGCCTCTGAAGTCAACTAAGTAGAGGCTGAAGTCCAGTGATCAATGTGAATTATAGCTAATGGAAAGTCTTATATTAGACAAAGAACACAAGACAACGCAGCTGCCAAGAAAAAAGGTGGGGGGTGGAGGGCCTGATCAAGATCTAACTGACCTACTCCAAACCCAAGACATGGAAGCATTTGTCATGAGGAACCCCAGAAGCCAGCTACTTTTACAGCACTAGGAAGCCTCTTCCCTAGGTTACTACAGGGTTCAGAGAACCTAGATTGAATTCCCACAGGGAGCCCAGTAAGTTTCATCTCAGTCACCAGAAGTCATGACCATCAGGGGGCTCTTTTTAGACCCCTTTACAGCAGCAGAGAGCTACCAGTTCTGCTTTAGTTCTGGGTTTTCATCCTCGCTTCCCTTGTGAATATTTTCTTAGAAGCCGCCTCCTTTGCATGGACAGAAAAACAATAAGAGTCAATAATTGTTGGCTGCTCTGTGGTAGTCTCCAATATGCGACCCAGATGACAGCTTATTTTCTATAAATGGGATGCATGGGAAACTTTCAAAGAAATATTTGGACAAGTTCCCAGAAGACAGATCAACTGAGGATATCAGGCATCCTAGAGCAGGAACTGAGGGTTTCCCTTAGGGGAAAGGACTCGAATGAGGGTCACCCTGATAGCACTGGTCTGTTAAGGAAGGGACGTGCATAGTTAGGGCACACAGGACACTCAGCACAATGGGTTGTCAGAATACCGAGTGAATAGTTATGACTACTTCAGACTGGGATCAGGTCAGGATCAACACACACAGAAGGGCACAGCCAGCATGAACAATTGCAGTTTGGATTTCTAAGTCAAGCTACCTTTTTCCAAACACATGTTTAATATCCAATTTGTTATCTCAGAATTCTTGCCACTGTGCTCACTCTCAGAATTTGCCCCAAGGAAAGGCCCAAGAAAAGTTCATTTGAAAGCTCTGCAACTTCGAGATTGAAAGGGTCAGAAAAATATTGCAAACTGGCAAAAAGTGAGTAAAGATCTTTGATTATGACAATGTACTCAATCATAAACAAACCTGGTGACTATGGCAAACTTTCCAAGTGCAGGAGTAGAACCGATTTCTAATTTTGCTCTTTTCTTTCTGACCTGATACTTTAATAGAATTCACAATCTTAAACTATGATCCTAAGATTTAAAATATACAGGCTATCATAGTAATATTCTAATTTAGAAACCTGAAGTTGTCTAAAATTTCTCAGATCCATGTTCACTGTGATTCTCCCTCAATTTTACAATGCCCATCAAACTCATCTCCCCTTTCAGAGGCTGCATGCTATCCAGACACACTGTCACCACCACAGTACTGTATCTTTAAGAAAATTATATATGGATTTAGGTATTCTTCACCTCTGCCAAACTTTCAGTGACTTTTTGTATACATTGTAGATAGTCAATGTTTAATTTTAAGAAATACAAAATTTTTTACAATCATACTTTTTAGAATGCCAAAATGGAAAAGAACTGCCAGTGTTTGATAATATGCTGTCTTCAATGAATCGTAAGAGCTGTTATCAAGATTCAAAGTAAACTAAACTCTTACCAAGGCAACCACACGCAGCAGAGCTCAGCGCTAATGTCACTCAGCCCAGAAGGGATCTTCCAAATCCAGGAGTCCGATGACACCTTCACATAGGCCACGGAACTCAGCTACTGCATGACCACATTGTAGTCACCATTTCAGTTACATCATTCGAGATGTTTCCTATGTCATTAGGAACTGGCACACTTGCTGTTCCTATACATCTCCTTCGTCACATGAATGCAAATGCCCTATCACTAGTTATTTTTGAGATGTTATAGAAAGCAGAATCTTTTTAACTTTTATTTAGTAAATATAAATTTCCGAAGTACAGTTTATGGATTACAATGGCTTTCCCCCCACCCCCCATAATTTCCCTCCCACTCGCACCCCTCCCATCTCCCGCTCCCTCTCCCATTCCATTCACATCAAGATTCATTTTCAATTATCTTTATATACAGAAGATCAGTTTAGCATACATTAAGATTTCAACAGTTTGCACCCACACAGAAACACAAAGTGTATACTGTTTCAGTACTAGTTATAGCATTACTTCACATTGGACAACACATTAAGGACAGATCCCACATGAGGAGTAAGTACACAGTGACTCCTGTTGTTGACTTAACAATTTGACACTCTTGTTTATGGCGTCAGTAATCTCCCTAGGCTCTAGTCATGAGCTGCCAAGGCTATGGAAGCCTTTTGAGTTCGCTAACTTCGATCTTATTCAGACAGGGTCTTAGTCAAAGTGGAAGTTCCTTCCTCCCTTCAGAGAAAGGTGCCTCCTTCAGAAAGCAGAATCTTGAGGCCGGTGCCATAGTGTAGCGGGTAAAGCCATTGCCTGCAGTGCCAGCAACTCCTATGAGCGTCAGTTCGAGTCCCGGCTGCTCCATTTCCAATCCAGCTCCCTGCTATGGCCTGGGAAAGCAGTAGAAGATGGCCCACAAGTCCTTGGGCCCCTGCACCCATGTGGGAGATCTAGAAGAAGCTCCTGGCTCCTGGCTTCAGATCAGCACAGCTTTGGCCATTGTGGCCAATTGGGGAGTGAACCAGTGGATGGAAGATCTCTCTCTCTCTGCTTCTCCTCTCTGTGTAACTCTTTCAAATAAATAAATAAAACTTAAAAAAAAAAAAAAAGCAGAATCTTTGTACTTTAGCTTCTCCTCCAGGTTCTCATCCTGCCACAAAGAGTCCTGAAGGTGAATCAGTCATTTTAAGACAATGTTTGGGGCACACAGGGCAAAACCACAAGTTGTTTTCTTAATCCTGTCCCTCCGATGTTAAGTTCTCCTTTCTTCATGAGGCTTTTTCTGATTACTCCCACCAACACTGTTCTACATTAATTTGAGTGTGAGAAGTACCTGACTTATTTAGTTGAAAGAGTGACAGAGAGAAAAACAGATCCTCCATGCACTAGTTCACTCTCCAAATGCCTGCAACACCTAGGGATGGATTACACCAAAGCCAGGAGCTGGGAACTCCATTGGGTCTCCCAGGTGTGTGGCAGGTACCGAAGTACTTGAGCCATCATCTGCTGCTTCCCAGCTGCACTAGGGGAGGCAGGACAGGAAGCAGAGTAACTGGGACTAGAACCAGCCAGCTGGGATGTGGGGATCCCAAGTGGCAGCTTAATCAGCTGCACCATAACACCAACCCCAACTGTTCATAAAATCTGCATGCTGCTGAGGTCAGGGACCAAGTTTTATGTTCCTCTGGTATCACCTATAGTGTCTAGCACCCTGCTGGACACATAATAAAGTGCTTAATATCCATGATGGAATTTTAAATCTCTGCTTTAGACTTTGATGGGTTTGGCTGTAGAAGTGGTACCTGAGTCTTTCAGAGTTTACTTTTTATCAAAAAAAAAAAAAAATCCTTGAGAGAATGTCAGGTACTCCTGTAAGGACTGAACATATTCCAAGGACCTCAGGGGTCTTGTTTTCAAAGATAATACAATGTAGTGGAAAAACTGGGCACAGGTATGAATAGTCAAGCATTCCTAATTATAAGGCCTATAATGGGATGCCAAAATATTCTAGTCACTAAATACTCTCTCTTTATGGGAACATATCATGTACACATTATTTAAAAAGTACCTGGCCTTCGGATCAGCATGGTGCGCCAGCCGCAGCGCGCCAGCCGCGGCGGCCACTGGAGGGTGAACCAACAGCAAAAGGAAGACCTTTCTCTCTCTCTCTCTCTCTCTTTCTCTCTCACTCACACTGTCCGCTCTGCCTGTCAAAAAAAAAAAAAAAAAAAGTACCTGGGAGCAGTATTTGGGGTTAGTCCTCTTTCTCTCTACTGTAATGCTATTGGGAGCTTAAAAAGAGTTCTTCAAACAGTTCTGGAAAACAGAATTACAAAATTTGTTTTATTGCAAAAATGTTGAAATTCATGCAGAGTTTTTTCACAGTTTGCATTTTATGAACTTTTTGAAGAGCCTTGTATGCATGGATTTTCACAATTTTTGCACCAGAATATTCAGTTCCATTTTTCCATGAGCATTTTGAAGTACCCTCATATGCCATAGCAAAAAACAACAACAACAAACCAGGAGAAACAGCTATGTGGGGCTCTTACTTCAGAAAGAGATTCCGAGATACAATATCACAAATTTGGAAGTCTTCTTTCTCCATGGAATCAATGTTGTCACCTTGACGGGTGTTTAAGAATTAAATTAAAATAAAAATAACATTTATATGTTACGTGTCCGAGGTTTACCTAGAAATATTACTGTTTGAAATTGGTTGCTTTAACTATCAGCTAATGGTAAATTGGGTTGCCAAGCATTGAAGTCATTTTTGTATTCACATCATCATTGGATTGAAATGTTGAAGGCATATCTGGTTATAATCTCTTAAGTCTGAGTTTAGGGAAGGTAAGTAACTACCCCAAGTCATATAGGCTGTTAACTGCTATGATGGAAGAATGGATCATCTGCTCAGGGATTTGGCGGGGGGAGGAATATTCCTTTCCAAACATTCAGAAACACGTACAAAACGGATGCTTTCAAGTTTCAATATCATAACTTTACAATCTGTATCTACTACCACTTTTTTCTTTGTTTCATTTACAAGGAATACACCTATATGTGACCCATCTTCAAATGGTGAGCAGTTTGGGAACCAAACACAAATGTAAGTTAGATTTAGATCTGTGCATACACAGTAGCTCACATGCATGGCTCAACAAAAACTTGAATGACCAAATGAAGGCATGTTCTTCCAGCTTCTCCCCCGAGACGCAGGAAGACGACAGCCGCCAACCTAGAATTCAGCAGACAAGGAAACAACAAGAGACCCACAGGCAGCCTTCTTGCTACCTCTCAGAGTGATTCAAATTGTAGTTCTAATCTCAACAGTCTATGTGGGACACCGCTCTTCTCATGTAACTTGGGACTGCGTTTTCTTTACTCCCATTTACAAAACCTGATCAGATGTCCCTAATGCTAAGTCTTTTATACTCTATTCCTTTGGGAGGTCCCTTGCAAAGTTTTACTTTATAAAGAGAGATGTCGTTGCCATAGCAACTAAGATATTTAATCTTGCCTAATTGAATCGTTGTATTGCAAATGGGAGCTTGGGCAGAGGCCGAGTTAAAATGGAGTGTAAGTGGAGGACACAAAATATCAAGTCCCCTTAATTCCTGGGGTTTGGATTAATGTTGTTTTCTGGTGAGGCGTATTGTTACTGTTCAAACTCCAGGCACTTAACCCTAGAGGGAAGTGGGTTGGGCGCTAGCCATGGTGCACCTGCAGTTGATTAGCCACAACGTAGGTCATGAGTGTAGTCTCCCAGGTCGCCCCCTCTCATCTCAACAATCAGCACACCTGGGAGGGGCGGATGACACTGGAGGCCAGAACTGAATTTAGGCAGCTTAGTGCGGTACAACTGTAAAACCCTCCCTCCCAGGGGCTCGGCCTAGGGACTTCAGAGTCCAAGAGGCGGGTTCCCGCGCTGCTCCCGAGCCTTTCTTCAAGGCCCCAGCGCACGTTATGTAAATAACAAGTTGCTCGGGCGCACACGTGAGAAGGCGGGAACCCGACCCGCGCACAAGCACACCGGGTGCGGCCAAAGTCACTGGCGTGGCGGCGCCTGGGGACGGACCTGGGCCCCTCTCGCTCCCTCCGCTGGCAGCAGCCCAGCGTCCCCCGCGAGGCGCGCGGCTGGGCCAGGGGACTCGGCGGCCACATGGCGCGCTCGGGGAGATGGCTGCGCTTTGTTCCCAGCAGCGACGGGTGAGTCACCGGCCCCCGCCACCGCAAAGCTGGGCAAAACCTCGCGCCCAGAGCGAGCAGACAGTTTCACAGCAGGAGCAACTATCCCAGCGGCCGCGGCTGCTTCCTCTTCGTCCTGCTCCTCGTCCTCCTCCGCCTCCGCGGCAGCCACGGCCACCGCCGCCGCCACCACCGCCGAGGCCGTGCCGCCGCCCCTACCTCGGCCCGGCCCCTCCTCCTCCGCGCGCGAACTCAGTCAGCGGTTCGCGCCGCCGCGCGCCCATTGGCCGCTGGAACGCGCCGCGTCACAATGGAGCCGCTCGGAGGCGGCGAGCTGGGCAGCGCCGGGGCTTCCCGCTGAGCCCGCAGCCGCCGGCAGCCGGCAAAGTGCGGGCGCCGGGCCGCCGCCGGCGGGCCCGGAGGCGCGCAGGGTGCCCGCCACGGTTCGCTCCGGCGCCCTGGGGTTGGAGTCGCACAGGTAGGTCGGAGCGTGACACCGCGGCGTGTGGAGGAGGAGCCGAGCCCACCGAGGCGGTGGAGGAGGAGGACGGGGATAGGAGACGCAGCAGGTGGGGTTGGGAGAGCAGGTGCGGTTACCTGTCTGCACCTCACCTGCGTGCCTGGTTGCGGACGGGTGGCGCGGCCGGAGGCGTGAGTGGCGGTTTCGTTGCTCCCTTGTCTCCGGGAAAGAAGGAGCGATACCCGCTGAGGGAAGCTTTCCCGGGTGCTAGGGTCATCTGGGGCGAAAAGAGTGGGTGGGCGGCCCCCTCTGTCCTCTGGTAGCCTTGGCGCTGCACCTGTGCGAGTCCTCGGGCGGGGCGGAGAAAGGGTTCTGCTTTCCCAGGCTGGAGCCTCGCCCAGGTGAGCGGACCTCCGTCCAGGGCGTCCACTTGTGGTCGCTGTCGTTTGCCCCCTGCCCTGGCGCTGTTTGTTGGCAAACATTCTGTGTTCTCCTATACTAGTTATTCGTCTACGGTTTGGTGCTAGCGTTGGGCATTCGTTTGACGGGGGGCGGGGAAAGAGGGCAACGGATTCCCATTTAAAGAGAGGCACAGGAATTTCCTCCCCTTGGGCTACAGTTAAGCAGGTGTTGAGAGGTCCGGAGGAAGGAGGTGCAGGGTTGGCTCATTACTCTGCGTCCTCCAGGTGGCATTTGTGAAAAGGTATTTGTGGTCAGGACTCTCCTAGCACTCTCTACCGCCTGCCTCCACGCCCAAGGGCAAACCTAACACCGGTGTGTGAACTTCCTTGAAAATAAATTCACCTTGCCTAGACACTTAAACACCTAGCTGTAAAAGGATACCAGTATGAAAAACATTACATTGTAAATCTGTAGGCAACTTAAAATAGGCAATTGGTTGGACGCATACTGAGACATTAAGCAGTGTGTGTCTTTATCAGGCTTTCTCCTGAACCTAAGAACAGGACCCGAAGCTTAGAACAGAAGTCACACTGCAGTATCATTATTTAACAATTTGGTACTCCCCGTGGGTACAAGGGACACTTCCAGAGAAACAAAAATGCGGGGGCCAAGATGACTTTGTTTTTCTGCCCCTGGCTGTCCTAGTCATCCTCTCCAGTCTTTAAGAAAATATGAAATGACAGCTAATCCTTCAGGTCGTTGGGCCCATGTGGTTTAAGAATATAAGCCCTATAACATGGCTGATGGTGCTCTGAGCTACAAAGAGGGCTTTTGGTGTAGTTGGTGAAGGGGGCGAAATTGCCATTAAGGGCACTTTTCTTACACCTAGTTTTAAAAATCTGTGTTAAAACTTACTGGTTTTCAAAACGTATCGGTTTTCTTCAGCAGGAAAGATGTTCCAGCTTGTCCTGCCTGGCATGAGTATATTCAAAGTTGGGATGGTTTTGTTGTATTAGTTAAGCTTTGCTTTTTTAATCCTCCTCACTACCACATTCCCCGTAGCAGTTTTCAAATCCTAGAATGAACAGGGCCCCAAACACTAAAGCTTGGAAAAAATACCAAATCCTCTCCGGTTTTGGTAGATGAATCAATGTGGATATTTGCCTGCACTTTTATTTTCTGAAGTTGAAGGGGCAAAATGTGTCAAGATTTCAAAGATCCTTACTTTTTAGCCAAAGTTTCACTTGGAAGTAAATTTTTAACTTTTTTAAAAATCATTTCAGTAGTACCTATTTTTATGTTCTATTAAAAAAAATTTTTACTATCTATACAAAAGTAGCCTCTTTAATCCAATATCTGATTTTCACTTAGTGTATATCAAGTTGATTTCTAAATTTTGTTTCATTTCTCTTTTCCAGCATTCTTCCACCATACACTAATGTTATCAGAAGCTAATGCATTCTGATTCTGTCATGTTCATCTGCGTCTGGTGAAACGGCTTGCACTGCCTGCCACATAGCATGCCTTTCACTGCTGTTTGGACTCTGAAAGTGCTGGATTCACCAGCAAACAATCTCAATCTGTAACTACTCAAAAGAAATTTGAGAGGCCCAATTATAGGGTGGAATTTGTTGAACCAGTTGTAAAATGTAATTTGTGTCATGTCTTTTTTCATATTAATGCCTTTTCCTTTATTGCTATTACCTACTTTCACTTTATTTCTCAATTGTATTTTCTAAAATTCCTACCTGATTTTATTATGACTTAATTTTCTGTTTAAAATAATGCTTTTGGCAGACATAATAGCTTATTTTTCTTTTTTCTGGATCATTAGGTTGATCTTTATTTAGGCCCAATACCATAAAATCTCCTTGCTAAATTCTTATCACTATTGTTCATTTAGAAATTGAACAAAAGATAGTGATAAACTTCATGTTCTGTGACTTCACTTCATTTAGGATTCTACTTGCGATACAATTTAAATTTATTCCTTTGATGCTTTTGTGAACAGAATAAAGGAAATGAATAAAAAATGAGTAGTCAGGATTTCAACCTTGACCTTTCGTTTTTCCCTTTTTGACTTTATGCTGCCTTTGATATGAATCACGTGGCTCTGCTTGTCCCTTTTACAGCCGGTCTACATTTGAACTGTATCTCCTGCTTCTTTAATTTCAATATGCCTTGTAATTCTTTCTGCCTGTTTGTCTGATCCTGTGGCCATTTCCACAGTTCCATTCTGCCTACTCTGCACCTAATAACATCTTTCACAGAATCTGTCAGCTTGCACAGCTTCTGTTTCTCTTTCATTTCCAGCTCCTTGCAGGTAACTGAGATCCTCCTCTGCGTCTTTGGTGGAGACCAAGTTCTGTTCTGTCTACTAGCGTGTTCCTTTTGGTTCTTCCTCAAGTATGCAAATTTGAGAGCATGCTTGAACCTTCCTTATTTTATTTTGTCAAATGCCTTTTCAGCATTTTCAACTCTTCCAGTGTTCCTTTAAAAAAAATCTTGCAAATATAGGTAAAATCCTGAAGATTTCTTGCTTAACAGCACGAAATTGTGCACACTGGTGTACTGTGTTTGCACACTATGTCATCACCTGTGATGAGTTGCTGGATTTTGTCAGGATTAACTGCCAGTAACAGAGACCACAAAGAACATTGGCTTAATCAAAGTCGTGTTTCTTTTACACATCTAAAAGAGTTGATGAAGAGAAAATCCAGGGGTGGTGGTTCTACACTACAGTCTTCTGAGAGTGAGACTGGCTCCACCTTTCATTTCTAGCACGTGTAAGATTAAGCCCCGGACCTCATGGTCCAAGATGCAGCCTCAGCCATTGTGTCCAAGCTCCAAGGAGTGTGGAGGAAGGAGAAAAAGGCAGGACAGGAGTTCATGGTCACTGAGGGATGTTTCCCAGGAGCTGTTATATGCCCCTGGTTATGTCTCACCCAAAATTTACTCAAAACTTAGTGACATGACCTTAGCTCGCTGTAATAGAGACTGGGAAACTATCCAGACAGTGTTAATCCCAGCTAAAAAGGGGACATTCACATCCCTAGGAAAAAGGAAGGGAATGAAATTAGGGTATCCAAACACCACAGGTATTCTCAAACTGATTTCTTAATTAATACTACCTGTCTCACAGAGTTCTTAGCATTAAAAAGCACCGTCCATTAAAATATGTAATACAAGTACCTGAATATAACTGGCTTTCAGTGAATGCTAATTCACATTCTTTCCTATTTAGTTTTTCTATGAATAATCTACTCCCTCTGCTGCCACATCACTGGCATCTGGTACCAGATTATTGCGTTGTACCTGGTCCTGGGGAGGGAGAATGGAGCATTTGAGTGACAGGGAGCAGTATATTATTGCCCAGTGGCAGCATTTATTTCTTAGCTTGAGAATATGGCTTTGATGAGTAACAAATCAAATGGGCCTGGATATGAGTCCTGCCTCTGCCACTTACTCAGTATGCAATTGTAGCATCTCTCTCAGTTCTCTTATCTGTTAACTGGGGGCAATAATCAGATATGGGGAGTGAATGGGGGAAAAGTATATGAAGTGCTTAATAATGTGCCTGGTAACATAAATGGTAACTTTTTAAAAATTTGTCCTAAGCTGGATGAACCTTTTTGAAAATCAACTCTTTCTTTTTAAAGGTACTTTAAAACTGGTGATCTCTGTGCATATTCAAATGAACGTTTTAGCTTGTTAGTTACACTTTTTAGAACAGTCTTCAAAGGCAGTTCATAACACAGCTGCAGTTTTTCCCCTTCTGCCTTTTGATCAGAGGCAGATATTCCAGCTAAGCCTCAGCCTTGATTTGGATGATTTTTGGCTGATCCACTCTCAGAAGCTAAATGTTACCACCATTGAGTATATTTCATAAT